CACCCATCCCACCCATCCAACCCATCCAACCCTTTCAACCTATCCAACCCATCCAACCCATCCAACCCATCCAACCTATCTAACCCTTTCAATCCATCCAGCCCATCTAACCCATCCAACCAAACAAACGCTGCCATATCCAACCCAACAGGTACCCCCGTCCAATCTCAGCTGGCTGAACAAACTATTAGATCAGATTTGAATGAGAAAAATTCGAATATCTACGACTATCTGAATAAGACCCCTGAAGACCCTACCCGTAACCATGGCGAAGCTGAGGTGGAAGGACGGATTAAAGGTATAGAGATGGAGATTGTTTTTAAGCAATCTTCATATTTATCAATTGTTTTCAAAATTCGTTTTATTTTTGATATTGTTTTAATATTTTTGAAAATGAAAAATCTTTTTTTTTTAGTTTTTAATCTTTTTGAAACCGAAAAAAAGTTTCCTTCTCGGTTTTGATTATTTTGCCATCTTCAACGAAAAGTTTCAAACAAGTGGTGGGGATGAATATCGTTTTTCAAAATGATAATATCATTTAATATTTGAAACAAAAACAAAAAGAAAACGTTCTATATTTTCAAACGGAAAGATAAATTAAAAAGTTAAACGTTGTGTAACAAAAACCGATTTTTTCGTTATTCGTCTTAAAAACAAAAGAAATCGTTTCATAAAGTTTCAAAACGACTTCTTTCTTCGATTTGATGTTTGAAAAAGATTTAAAATTTTAAATTGTTTTATCTTTTTATTTTATAGGTGTAGGGCAGGGGGAGGGGGATCAAGAGGGAAGTGTTGATCTTCATCCAGGAGAATCATCGCAGGTTATTCATTCATTTACTTGGTTACCCTCGAAAATATTTATTCATTGGTTCAAGCTACTCGGTTGCCCTCAAATATTCATTCATTGGTTCAAGCTACTCGGTTGCCCTCAAATATTCATTCATTGGTTCAAGCTACTCGGTTGCCCTCAAATATTCATTCATTGGTTCAAGCTACCCCTCAAATATTCATTCATTGGTTCAAGCTACTCGGTTACCCTCAATATTCATAAACATTGATTTATGATATTCAGTAAAAAATGTTGATCAGATTTGTGGAACGAAATATCAACGAAAACTTTAAATTAAGGATCATTTGAAAAAAGGTGGAGAGTCCCTTGAAAATCTAAACAAATTTAGGACATGACCATGAGCAAGGACGAACTTACTCCGAGTAAGACCCTAAACCTGGATGAGCTAACTCCAAGCAGAGCCCGGAGTCAGGACGAATTTCCTCCAGATAAGACTCGAGAAACCCAGCTAAGAAGCTCGAGTAATCAGTTTAGATCAAGATCATCTCAGATTCAAAATATTCTTGCAGACAGGAACCAAAATTTATTAATGACTAGCTGAAGGGACCGACGTTGCCCGTGGAATTAAAAAAAGTTTTAAAAAGTTTTGAATTAAAGAAAAAAAGATTTTTAAAAAAATCTACTTTTTTAACTTTGTTACCCGTGAGATACCCATTTTTATATTTTGAATTTGTTTAAAAATAAAGTTTTGAAACTAGAAACAGTCAGACGTATTCTCGTCGAAGCTCTGGATCCCTTCCATCTCTCTCCCATAGCTACGAAACCCTGAGCGGAGGAGAAACTATCCCGGAGCAAAACCTTAAAATTCCGCTCCGTCCTGCGCCTCCAGGTTGGGCTAGAATCATTTTCAAAATTTATATATTTTCAAAAGAAATTTTGAAAAAACTTATTTTCAATTAGTTTGATTTTATATTGCTTTTGGACATTTTTCATTTTCACTTTAAATGGAAACTTTTTAAACATTTAACTTCCGGTTTTAGTGAAAATATATTTTATTAAAGGGACAATCGTTGTAATTTCAAGTGACCCCAGGTTTAAAGAGAAGCATGTCCGAATCTTAAAGGTACCTATTGCACCTTTATCTGATGAATAATGTGGAACAGTGGAGGATATTGTCAAGATTTGAAGAGAAACCTCTCTTGATGATAATAAGATTTCAAGACGAGAAACATGGATGGCTCATTCAATCTTAATCAGACAAAGCTTAAAAGGGTACCGTTGCGAATCTAACATGTCATAGAGGCTCACATGAAATTACCTTTACAGTCCCTTTAACATGGTTTAGAATTCCTAGTCTGTTTACAGTCCCTTTAATATGGTTTAGAATTCCTAGTCTGTTTACAGTCCCTTTAACATGGTTTAGAATTCCTAGCCTGTTTACAGTCCCTTTAACATGGTTTAGAATTCCTAGTCTGTTTACAGTCTCTTTAACACATGGTTTAGAATTCCTAGTCTGTTTACAGTCCCTTTCACATGGTTTATAATTCCTAGTCTGTTTAAAGTCCCTTTCATATGGTTTAGAATTCCTAGTCTAATTTTTATGAAGTGAATTGATTTTAGAAAAATATCCCTAAAGTTTATTGTTTAGTGCCGACACGAGTAGTTGTTCTCAACAGTTCAATAGTTGGGTCGGATCAAGCATCAAGGTTAGGAAGCACATGGTATACGGGAAATGTACAATTTATGCATAATTACTGGATCGACATTATGATCTTGTAGCACCTTCAGTTTTAATTTTACGACCAAGTAGAAAGAATCAAATGTACAAGGTTCCATGTTAAAGATAAAAAACTTTATTTTTCTTCTCAACAGCTCTCTAAGGAGAGCTTTAATTAAAACATAGCAGTGACCAATTTTACCCAAAGTTTACTTTAATTTGACATGATATAGAGTTCATAAGTTGAGAGAAATAATTTTTTTTCTCTGTAATTTCCTCAAAAATTGTTCATGAAAAAAGTTAATTTCTTGAACCATTTACCCCTTACAACCCCCTTCCTTATTTTTAGCGAAGTCTCTAGGTTGAAGTTGAATATGATGTAAAACTGGTAATTTCCGTGAAAACTCTTACAATGGGTAATTTATACGCAAATCAGAGCCCAAACCAGTACTTGGGCGGCCTTAGCTTGTGAGTAATAGTTGTTCGGATCTATTATATCTAGATTATCCTGAATCCATTGTAATTTTGTGTAAAAAAGCTATAAAGTATAAAGTTTTTCTTCCGAAATAGCTCGTTGTAACAAGGACGACATCTAAATATATTGCGGGTTTACAGGATCCATTCAAGGATGAATGAATAAAGGGAAAAAGTAATTATAAATTGATATCATTATAAATCAATGCAAGCTTTAATTAATACAATATTTGTAAATGAAAAGATTATCAGAATATATTATTTTTGTCCCTTCTCATCATGAAACACAAGACAAATGCATTTTAAAAAAAGCATTGTGACAAAAACCGGTCACCCCCACCCCCTTGACCCCGTAAAATGCCCCACCGTGCCCCTAATCCCCCGCTTTAATATTAATTAATGTTTATCATGTACTTACATGAGAGTTTAAAGGCTACAGGGTGTCCCACGAAACATGACAGTTGATAAATAGTTAATAATGTCGTCTTCCATCTACTGTATTAGATATTTAAGGCTATTTGCAGTTTATTTCGTTAAAAAATGTTTTGCTCGAATATATTTTACTTTGAAATCAATTTTACCATAACATGACTCCCATAAAATATTTTTATTATTGTCTTTGGTATCAAACAACTTAAAAAATTATGAAAGAAAACATTTAAAACTATTCACCAACTGTCATGTTTCGTGGGACACCCTGTATTTTTGATCTTTGAAATAATTGGCAGTATTCTTACATTTACTTAAGTGCAATTATCATTAAATACCCCTATTCATTGCATTTTTTAAATGGTGATTTTTTGTACTTTCAAATAACAGGAGAACAAAAAATTTCGTTCAGATTTCAGTTTATTAAATAAATTTAAAATCATCTGAACGTCATTTTTTAAAGATGCATATTATTAGAGGTAAAGCACATTGTAAAAAGTTTACAAGTTTAGAAACTTTTTTAATTTACGTTTTGTCATCACATATCAAAGACGACCTTTCAGTCGTCTCTCAACTGTCCTGTTTAATGGGATACCAGGTCTTATAATATCTTCTATAATACTTTAGAGAGCGAAGAGTCCAGAGAAAAAGAAGAATAAATTCTTTAAAGAAAAGAATTCTCTGGAAGGAAAAGTTGCTGGAGGTAAGCTAACTGTATATATAATGAACGCCATCTTGAAAAAAATCAGCTGATGTTTTAAAAATTATTTAACAAAAAAAGGAAAATGAGCCAACATAAAAATAATTTTCAAAATTTAACATTAACGTATTTTCCATTAACATCAGCATATTAAAAAATTCAAATAAAGATTTAAACAAGAAATATCAAAAAGCCTTCATTGAATCATTATCTCATTTTCGAACATTTCCTTGCATAATGATGCACCAGAATGCATTTATCTTTAATCATAATTGTGTTTTGTAATCCTGTTCATGGCATATTGAATGTAAGAAGCATGAAAACTTTATATTCACATAATTTGTTTGTTTGTTTACTTGCTGCCACTGAGTCGGAGAAAACATAAACTTAACTAAAGCGTAAGTAAACATTTTATTTTTATTTTTGTTTGTCTGTTTGAGAGGATAGGTCTGGGCAGACATTTTATTTGACTATTTCATCATGTGGCAAGAATCCGGATTTGCCTAATATTTTACTTTTACAGCTTCATTGATCTGAATCCGGGTAATTAAAAAAACAAGTTTTTTTTTGTTCATTAGCTGAAATTATCGAATGTTTGGAAAAAAATAAAAGCATTGAATCTAAAAATACGGATTCTTATCACTGAAAATTTTTGTTTGAATTTTTTTTAAGTAAACATACCCAGCCCTATCTTACATACCAATGATAAATATTGTGTCCAAGGAAAATATATACTCTAGATATGCGAGCGGGTAGAAATTTTGAGATCTTGGACAATAACGAATTTTTCATGCAAAATAAATGCCCTAGCACCTACTAAAATATTTAGTTTTATTGGTCAACCAGAGCTAGGAACTTTAGAATGGTGGATATCGAGATCAATGCTTGATCCTCTCTTTTTCTTAATCTCGAGACTAACCTAATCTTGTACTTGTATCCTGAAAAGTGTATAAATTTCAGCCAATCAGAGTCGCGTATCAGAAGCCGGGAAATTTGAAATATTGCGCGCCATTTGAGATTAATATACAGAAATGGGAGGGACATTCTAATTTTGAAAAACCGGATTTTGGTTTTTCTGTACTATATTAAAAAAAAGAGTGGATTAAGCAAGAAATTAAAAGTGTCCACATTGGATATTCGGATTAAGCAGTCTGGATAAAAGGTATCGACCCATTCTAAAGATCCCCGCTCAGATAACAACACTTGAAGCAAAGAAATTGTATTATCAAAAAGCTTAATTCCTACAGAGGGCATCAAGACCGGGGAAAAGGAGTATTGGAAGTTAACAATCAGCTACCTGCCTGTCTGCATATCTAAAGTATCTTTGGTTTAGTCTAATATCTCAACTGTTTGTTTGTAATAATTATGTACAGTGTACAATGTACATGGTGTACACTGCACATATGGGGTTGAAAAGGGGTTTATAGAAACATTCAACGTGGCCAAACTTTTTGCGAATAGTTCATCACTTAAAAAAAGAACACTCCCTTTAGGCATGGTTTTGTGACGTGAACCTGGAGGGGGGGGGGGGCAAGAAAAAGGAGTGCCGAATTATACTGTAGAGTGTATAGACTGCATATACACCATGTAGAATCTATATTGTTCGGTTGAATGCATATTGCATTGCATACCAACATATTCAATTTAGAAAATTCTGAGAAATATTAAAAAAATTACATTTTTTTATTTAAAAGAGTGACAATGTGCATAACTAGAAAATGAGTGTGCATTTTTGCGTCATTAAAATTATAAAAAATTCTTGTTCTTGTAAAGTGTATGTTATCGCATGTAGAACGGCATAATACTATTATCCCAATTGATAAATGAATAATTTTTGATTTCCGATATGTATTTAATGACTTTGATTGCAGTAAAAAAACGGTTGAAGTTCTCATGAATATTTTTCAAATCATTCAAATTGAAAAAATTTTCAGGTTTTTGAAAAATTTGGATTTTATAAAACAAATTAAATCTGGCTTGACAAAATTTGTTTAATATTCCTCAATTTGGAATTGGACAAAAATGTTAGACCACATTATAGAAATCCCAGAATATTAAAATAATATGTGTTTTAAGTGCATGTATTATACATGTATTTAACAATCAACATGCTCATTGAGATACATGGTACAGTGTACAATTCCATTTTCTCCAGTTTTAAATAGAAATTTGGGTGGTTTCTTCTCCTCTCCCTATTTTAAAGAATTGGATTTGGTTTGGATTTGGTTTCATAAACTTCTTCATTAAATCTGAGAAGGTTAAGTTTAAATTGCTAAAACAGCATAAGATAAATATATATAAAACATCAAAAGATAAATATAAAGTTGCGTTCTCAATACTTCTTTAATTCTGTGTCCTCATTTTGCGTCCTCATTCTACGTCCTCGATTCTGTGTCCTGTGTGCATTCTCTCTGTACATCCACATTGTAAGCCCTCCTAATATTATTTTAATCTAAATTGCACATCTTCATATAGCGTTTCATTATTAGTGTGTCTGCATAATTACATCTTCTTTTGTAAATCTGAAAAAACGAGCAAAAGATCCGTTATAATATCACAAAGAAAAACTCTTGATTTTCGACCTTTTCATTCGACCCCTCAGTCCCCCCCTTTCACAAGCCCTGTAGTTGCGCCAAAAAATGATACTTCTGAATATAATGAATGCTTGGCTTAAGCACAATTGTTGAATTTAAAAACTGGCTGACAGCTATAGAAAACTTGAGAACTTGAGATCTTAGCAAGTTTATAGGTTTAACATTACAAACATTCAACATTTTATATTGTAACTTTGTAAGCTATCGAAATATAAATAAAGACATGTTCTTTCAAAAACATTAAAATTGATCCCAAGAAATTTTAAAAATTTTCAACATTTTAAAAGAAAAATGTTTTCAAATGTAAATAACTTTGCAACATCTTTCGCCTCTTGTATTGTGCTTCTTTTAAGACGATTGAGGCAGTTTTTTAGAAGGATGGCTTGGATTGAATTTTGGTTTTTATCTTTTTTACATAGAGTGGAAAATATTTTAAATTTGTTTCTATAAAAACTTTGAGCATTTATTTTAATCTTTTGTTTACGAACAATTGTGCATAAAGACTTCTCAGATTTAGACTGAAATATCATATTTTCTTATCGGAACCTAAGATTAAGATTGAAAAGTCTGTATTTGCTTATCGGAACCTCAGTATTTGTAGTGTTTGAGAGTTTAGTATTGTATAAGATGCCTGAGTGGAGTGGCCTGTTTGGTCAGGCAGTGATAAGGCAGTAGTACTATGCACAGATGTGTCATGCATATCTCTAAGCTGAAAAAATTGCATCTTTTGTACGCAATTCATAAACATTGCTTTTGAGTTAAAATTAGCATAAAATACCAAAATAAATTGATTCATTAAATACTATACACATTGAAATAATGCTGATTTATTGTTGTTAATTTCAAGAAAACTAATTGTTGTGAAATTATCAAGGTGTTTAAAGGCAAGGTGAGAAAAAATTGAGTTGCGTCTATTCAAGTTTATCTTTAAACCCCAAAATTATCATCTTGTCTTGTTGATTTTAAACCTTATGCATTTAATAAATGTTGGTTTTTCTAAATATAAAAATTAAAAACAGTCTTTCATTAATTATGATATGTTTAATGTTTATATCCGTCCTTTCTTATAATTTATAATCCTTCTTAAAATCAGATTTAGAATTCCATGCAACTTAAACATGTAAAGTCTGTTTTCCGATCACGTATTTATGCATTTTTTTCTCCTCAGGATGAATCTCAGGATCAGCTGATTTTGGAGCTGGATATGTACCAGGTATAGAATATATGTACAGAGTGGATATGTACCAGGTATAGAATATATGTACAGAGTGGATACGTACCAGGTATAGAATATATGTACGGAGTGGATATGTACCAGGTATAGAATATATGTACAGAGTGGATATGTACCAGGTATAGAATATATGTACAGAGTTAGCCACAAAAGCTGAGACTTTAAAGGCGAATGTACTTAACCTTATCAGTCTTGTTTCTTACATTCACGGTTTCCTGTGGGTTTCCGCGTAGCCAAATCATTCAGCACAGTACAGTGTCCCACTCCATCCGGTGTACATCTCAATATCAGAGCTGGGCCAACCTTTGCAGTCCTACTTTGGACTGTACCGCCATTTTACAATTACTAAAGCGGCAGAAGAGTGTGGTGTTGTGATTTTTTTTGTTTCGTTTTTTTATCATACATTTTCTCTAATAGAGTAAAAAAAGAAAATGTAAATTTTTTATTCTTAACGTTTTTTTTATTCACAATATCAAAGACTAAAGACTAACTATAACCTTCAGGACTTCAAATCGCAATTAAAAGCTCTTCTGAAAGTTCTTAAACCCAGTTTTGAATCCCGGGTTTCACGAATGGGGTTAGGCAGTTTTGTGAATATCAATATTTTTGTTATGAAATATTATTTTATTCAGTCTGTTTATATTATCAATTTTTTTCCCATCTCTTAAATCAAAATCTACAGAAATATTAAGACCCCAAAAAGGAAACTCAGGAGTTATGTCCAACGATACTCTTTTAAATTTCTTTTAGTACGAATATTTTATTAGATACTCTAATAAAAAGAGGTTATGGTCTGTGTAGTTACAGTGATAACCAGAAAACTGTGGAATATGAAGAAAAAATTACACCAATACTGAAGCGTATTTGATGGTGTTACAAAGAAAATAGTTTTACTAGTTTTAAATCAAATATTAAGTGTAATGGGTCTGCTTACACTTCACAATTGCTTTGTTCCATGTTCATTGGACTATTTAAAATCATAACTTGAGTCTGAAAGTCCTCTACCAGAGTTTTCTAGTTAATACTGTAGTGTACATATACTGCAGCCCGTTTCAATTGTTACTTATAAATATACTTTGTTACATACGATCAAATATCGCAATGTAAAACGTACATTATGAACTCGCAATAATTCAAAAGTTAATTGCCTAATATTTGCCTTAAATTATGTTTTTTTAGGATATTGCAGTAGCTCGTGGAACAACATATGATACTTTAAACCAAAGAATGGACAGGTTTGTTTCTACTTAAAGGGAGTGTTTGCGAAAAATATAGGCTTGCGGCGAAAAATAAGCGCTTTTGATCGCACCTAATCTTACTTCTATCTGTTGCGTATATAAGGAGAAAATTGTTAAAAACGACTCATGATGAAGAACGTAGCGTCCATACAAATTCAGAAACATTCAACTCGGATCGTAAAATAATCAGTTTAATTCCAAACAAATCATTCAGATATTACAAACAGTAGTCATCGATTATTTTTCGATGCATTCGTACATAGTTAATATTTCATAATATTTTTTAATTTTTATGATCTGATATTTACTTTCGAAAAAACATTTATTCCTGTTTTGAGGATTTTTGATGATGAAGACGACATTTTATATTTTCCAGGAATGTTCGAAAATCCAGCGACAGCAAAATTTTATTTAAAAATTAAAATCAAATAAATAATGTTTTGATAATTTTTGGGTACTTTTTTAGATTTTTTAATTGTCAAATAATGTTTAACTACCGGTTATGAATATAAAACAAATATAAAACAAATATAAAACAAATATAAAACAAATATAAAACAAATATAAAACAAATATAAAACAAATATAAAACAAATCAGAAAGTATTAGGTTTTCGACAAAATTATACTTTATCATAAACAGAAATTTTAAAAAATGGTTTGCTATTGTTACCAAAAACAACAGCAAACATGGAAATTTTTCGATTGAGCTTATAATACATGCAAACCTACTTGGGTGGGGGGAGATGATTCTTATCCGTGCAAACCTACTTGGCTGGGGGGGTAATTGAGTTATAGAACATTTAAACCCTACATTAAATTTATCTAGATGTCAGGCCAACATTGAAATCATATCTGGACAAATTCAAGAACTGCAGGGTAATAATATTTATAAATTTAGTGTGTTTGTTGTCTCTGAAAATCCTGTCTAATGTCGTATTTATGAAATGTCTTATCTATTAAATCATTGTCCTAACTATCAAATGTCCTATTTATGAAATGTCTTATCAATTAAATCATTGTCCTAACTATCAAATGTCCTATTTATGAAATGTCTTATCAATTAAATCATTGTCCTAACTATCAAATATCCTATTTATGAAATGTCTTATATATTAAAGCAATGTCATATCTATGAAATGTCCTATTTATAAAAGGTCTTATCTATTAAATCAATGAAATGTCCTATTTATGAAATTTCCTATTTATGAAATGTTCTATCTATAAAATGTCTTATCTATTTAAGCAACTTCCTATCAATGAAATGTCCTAATTATGAAATGTCTTATTTATCAAAGCAATGTCCTATCTATAATGTCTTATCTATAAAAGCAATATTCTTGCTATGAAATGCCTTATCTATAAAATGTTTCTTTATATGAAATGTCCTATCTATAAAATGTTTCTTTATATAAAATGTCCTATCTATAAAATGTTAATTAAATGTCCTTCTATGAAAGTCTTTCTATGAACCTTTACTGAATAGATACAATGTTAAATCGTAAGATCTATTTTATAGATTTATTAATTAGATAAGTTTAAATGTTCAGTAAGATCTAATTTATAGATTTATTAATTAGACAAGTTTAATTGTTCAGTAATTGCATTGACTGACCATGTTTAATTTTATTCAGCAAACTTGGATACATTGCTTTGTTTCAATTCAATCCATTAAACTTCATTTTGAGACAAATTATTTTAGAATCATAATGGAATACAGGAGTCGGCGTTTGTATCAACACAATTAAGACGACTTTTCTATTTAAGTTTTGATTTCCAACACGTTTTTTCCAAATTACAAGTTTGTTTATAAATAAGCTTGAAAAGAATCTGTTAATTAACAGCCTCTGTGTTTCCAATAGCTTGGTAGAATCAAAATTGAAATAGAAAGTCGTCTTCATTGTATTTATATATATATACGACGACGATTGTAATAAATTTATGATATTGAATTTAAAAGGGAGTGAACATGAATTAAAAGAGTGGAAATACTGACAATTTTTAAGCGCTGAACATTCGTGAACTGTCCCTTACTTTTTTAATTTAAACTGTGTTTGATCTTTTTTTATTAACATAAACTTGATTATGTTTCATGTTTTGTTTGATTAAAGGGACTGTTAACGTAGTTTTAAGTGTAACTCTATTTAAAGAACTAAATGCCCAATTTGTTTCTGAGGAACATTAAAAAATCCGTCAATTTTGTTTCTCGTATCTGCTGCATTAATCTGCGAGCCACTTCTATAGAGAGATTTGAAATACTCATTTGTATAGAGACAAACAAAAATATCTCTGTCATTTTTTGCTCAAACAAAGATTTAAAGGGGGAGGTTCGGGCATCTCTTGAAAAAAAGTCCCTTTAATAGCCTAATATTCATTAGTTTGTTTGAACGATGAGGAGGGAAAGCTTGAGGATGAAAGGATAGATGAGATTACACAAAAACAGGAATTTGATAAACTCCAGGTTTGATTGTATTATAGAACTTTACTGCAGGTAGTCGTAGTTACGAATATTTTGTTCGAAGTTACAAATATTTTGTTCGAAGTTACGAACATTTTGTTCAGAGTTACGAATATTTTGTTCAAAGTTACGAATATTTTGTTCGAAGTTAAGAACCGAACTTTAGGGATATAAAAAATTGTTAAACAGCTCTCATATTATGTTAACAGCAAATACACAAGCAATCTGAAAAATATATATATAAAATGTCTAGGGATATCAAAACAGTATGCAAGTAAATTTTTTTAGATAAAACGAACAAAATGTTTGAATTTCTTATCCTAACGGAAGAATTGTGAGTATTGGATCGTCTTTAAGATAAATTTTTTGGTTCAAAATTTTGTTTTTAAGATTGTTTAAAATCATTACCCGAATAAAATATCTTATGACAGAGAAAAAAAATGGAAAGAAATGTACATGATAATGTTGCTAGGAGAAGCTTGAAGCAAAGAGAAGGGAAGAAGATAAAAAAAGAGAAGAAGAAAGAAGGTAAAAACCTTTTACAGTGTTTTATTATGACACAAATCTTAACAAGAAAGACCGCAAAAAAACGAAATCTGAAACATTTTTACAGTAAAATTTTCATTTATAACCATAAATTTAAAATCCCTTTAATGTTTCTGTTTAATGAAAATGTATTAATTTATGAAGAAATATGACGAATACTTAAAACAATTTAATAGATAATTAATGACCTTTGAATTTAATGCAAACCGGAATTATAATGCTTTTAAATATTTGAGAACTTTATTCAACACCCAACTTTGCCTGGTAACCAAACTTTCTTTTTAAACGTCAACCCACTCAATACAGACGTTTTAAACGTCAACCCACTCAATACAGACGTTTTAAACCAAGTTAAGACACTGTTGTATGCCGAGTCCATTAGCGCCTGATCCAATCAGGGTTCAGTCATGCGTGTGTTGTCTATTCTGATTCAATAGAAATAGTATGGCGGTAACATCTATCTTTCTATCTATCTCATTATCCAATTAGAGATATGAATCCTTCAGTCGGCGCTATAACAGTAAATGGAAATATTTACTTCTACTGAAACTAGTGAAGAACATTATCGTAATGCCGTGGTTTTACGATAATGTTTAGGCATATCGGTCCAGGGGGTTCATGATTTATGATCGGAAATACAAACAGACAAACACTAAAAAAGACTACTACTTTATTAGTATAGAGATATGGTTGAAATTCAAACGTTGAAAAAAGACTAACTCTGTTAAAAGAACTACCATTTATGCTGAAAACATATCTCTATTAACCGTTGTGAATCGTACATGCGACTCTTTCAATAGGATGTCCTTGAAATGTTGTTAAGTACTTTCCCAAAGGCATTTTCCCAAGTGACAATTTCCCAAGTGGTAAACTTCCCAAATGTGAAATTTCCAAAGCGGCAACTTCCTAAGGTTATGTTAAGTCCTCTAAGGCGCCGCAGGCTGTAATGGGGGCCGAGCGCTATGATGGAAAGGACCGAGCGCTGCGGCAAGAACAGTCTGCAGGGGGGCCGAGCACTGCGGCTAGGAAATTCTTGGGAAGTTATCACTTGGGAAAATACCCTTGGGAAGTTGCCACTTGGGAAAAATCCTTTGGGAAAGTACTGAACATCCTTGAAATTACGTCGAAAGTACCTTTATAAAATTATTAAAAGTGAAATAATAATTTGTGTTGCAGGAAAAAGAATAGAACACACAGAGCACATGTGATCAGGAAAATAGCAATTCAACTTATTATCCATCAAGCTGGAACATTTGCGCACACTCAAACTTACAACAGAAATATAGTCGTCTTTATTTTACTATTTAAATTTTTCAAGATTTAAGATGGTGCTCAATTGAAATCGGTTTTTCGGGGATTTGAGACGTGGCTTAAATTATTAAATTCGGACATAGTATTGATAAACAGTGGGTAGAACTTGGGCCCTGAACATTTTCAGATATATTTAAGTTCTATCAGCTGTTCTATGCTGCTTTACAAAAAAAATCTCATGAGAACAATTATTCTTTTTTTTTGCCAATTTAAAACATGCACAAGTTGATTTTAATTTGTTCATTCAGTCAGGCAATTTTTGAGCATTCTCTTGGTACCCCCCCCCCCCTAGGGTTCTGTTGTTTATATTTTGAATTGTTTTTAAAACAGAGAACTAGTTTTAACTGAACGAGATTACTGCAGATATCTTACTTTAACATCTCAGGTCAACTTCATGCATAGAAAACAAAAACAAAAACAATCACAATAACAATAACAATAACAATTACAATAACAATATTAAAAACAATAACAATAACAATAACAATAACAATAACAATAACAATAACAATAACAATAACAATAACGATAAAAATAACAATAGCTATGCAAATAACAATAACAATAAAAATAACAATGACAATAACAACAGTTTTAACAATGACAATAACAATAACAATAACAAAAACAATAGCATTAACAATAACAATAAAAATATCTATAATTAGGCAATGTTATAAATGATAATTAATGAATGAAGAAGAAATTAATTTTTTTTAATATTCTAGGCTTTTGAACTTGACGTTCCTGCTAAACTTGAATCTCAGGGAATAGATGTGAAAACGTTATTTGGAAACTTGAACGCCGTTCTGGACACTTCACAACGGTAAGTTTACAAATACTAGCCTTAGAGGGCGCTTCGCGCCCATCTTCTAAATTAATTGTGAACATGTTCTCTTTGTGTACATCGTAAAACAAAACAAAAATAATTCGCGGATTTTCACAAAAAATTTCGTGGAATTTAAAAATTTTCAAAAATTTACTGAAGATCGAATTTTGATGGAGACAAATATTTGAAATTTTGATCATTCATAAACCTTCCCTGTTGTCACGTGAGGTCCCACAAAAAATTTGGGCCCGATCGGTTCAGTCGTTTTTACGTTTATTGGATACAAACAGACAAACAAACACCCAGACAGCCAAACAGACCGACAAGCCAAATTTATATATTTAGATAGATGATATAGGGGACGGTATTAAACAGAGTATTATCTTACTTGTTCCTTTCAATTATGTTTCAGGCAAATGGTGTAAACTTTTTGTAAAAATGGCATGACCTCTTGATATAAAGTCTGAAATATCAAAGGTTTACACCACCAGGTTGCTGAGATATAGGGATTAGAAAATTTTATTTTGACGCAAAAACTTTTGACTTTTTAGTCTTATTGTAAAACAATAAGACTAGGACCAAAAAAACCTGTTTTAATGATTCAAACTATTTTCATACATTTTTTATCTTTGTTTAGGTTTCTCTCCAGACTAACCGAGGAACTGGAAAAATGTGAAGTAAGAAATATACCTGGAGACGGGACGGAGTACAACCCTAGCTCCGGGCTTGGAGCCGGTACAGAGCAGGACGGGAACGACAAGTTTGTCTCTTGCCAGATCGGAGTGTGCTTCTTGGAGAGCGCAGAAGAGATGAAGAGTGCGTATACTGAATACTGTTTGCTCTTGGAGAGAGCAGAAAGCGCCCTTGAACAGTATGAAGCAGATCCAACTCTGCAGAAAGTTGTGGGAAGAGGTAAACACTAATAGAGATATATATATATTTAGGTCTATTTGTCTGTTTTTTTTGTATCCAATAAACGTCAAAACAGCTGAACCGATCCAGCCCAAATTTGTTGTGAGACCTCACATGGCCTCATGGAAGGTTTATGGATGATCAACATTTTAAAAATTAGCCTAAAACAAAATTTTCGATTTCCATTACATTTATTTTTATAAAATCCGCAAATTTTTTTGCTTTTTGTTTAACAATGTATACAAAGAGAAAATGTTCACAATTAAAATAGAACATAGGGCGCAAAGCCTAGTTTACTTATATTTCTGTCATTCAAAAACCTTGAAACAAAGTGCATATCACACTAATTCTGAACCAATAAATATTATTTTATTAGAAAATTAAATATATACATTGATTTGAGTGAAATAGAGTCGAAAGTGAAGTTTCATAAACTTTTACCTGACGTCGATAGCTTTCGTTATATCAATCCCTTCAGAGTGTACTAATCTGTAAATAAGTTAAGTCAGCTATTTTGAACGGATTAAACACTCCATATAGAAAGTTTTTATTGTAAACATCGATATATTTTGTAAAAAATAAGTTCTGACCTGTGAACAGCTCATGCATATTTGTCTCTAGGCTTAGAAATCCTTCGAAGCGATGTTTCCTGCTTTAATCTGAGTTCTGTTCTGATCAAACCTGTTCAACGGATCCTTAAGTATCCTCTTCTTCTCAACCAGCTGATCAAGGTTAGAGCTAGAGATGGGCATAGTTTTCGTGAACAATCTTTTGAAAAGAATGGTCGTTTGTTTACTGATTGAACGATTTTATTGAAAATGAACGAACAAAATGGATCGTTCATGAACGATGAAAGAACGAAATGGAAAAACGCCGCCCATCTCTATAGTTAGAGTAGGGTGGTGCAAAGTTTTGGTTATTTAAACAAAGATCGGAAAAGCACTAGCGTTCCCAGCCTATAGTGGAAGAAGGGGGTTGTGAGATTGGTTAGATTTATCACTTGAAAGTGAGGTTTATTACATTTAAAACGATAACTCAAGAATTATCCCACAATTTTGAATTTGAATTGCAAGAGGGGTGGATACATGCTATTTCTTAGTAGCAAAATTCAACTCAGAATTGAGTCTTTGCCACAAACTCTCCTCTAAAAATCCCTATATCTTTGAAAGCCATGATGTTGTAGACAAGACAATAGATATTTCAAACTATATATTCTGTTAGATCAAATAATCCAAGTTTAAAGTATCAAGGTCTAAATCAAAAGTTTGCAAAGATGCAGTAATTTGAACATTCGAATTTGTGGCAAAGACGAAATTTCTTTAGCTTCATTTTTCAAATAAATATTCTAATTAGGTAACTGAGGAAGATAATAATGATCGAGTAAATTTGAAGCAAGCATTAGGAAATATTCTTAATAAATTCCTTCATAAAATACTTGGCTTTTAGGGCGCTTCGCACTCCCTTTTCTAAAAAGTTTAGCTTATAACTGTTGCCTGAAAGTGGCCATTTATATTTATTTTTGAACTTGATTGATTTTTCAATATTTGCGCATTTCTTAAACTAGTGCTTGTCAACATTTTTTGCTGGCAAAGGTTTAAGCCCACCCTCTATCGTCTATACGCCCCCACCCACCCGACCCCTTCTTTACCTCTGTACATAGAAGATAAGTAATTGCTCTAATATTCCGCATTGAAAGAGATGGAACTCTATAATCAAAGAAAATTCACCAGGAACAAACAATATAAATTGTTTACATTAAACAATATATATTGTTTACATTAAACATTATATATTGTTTACATTAAACATTATATATTGTTTACATTAAACAGTATATATTGTTTACATTAAACAGTATATATTGTTTACACTAAACAGTATATGTTTACAGTAAAAAATTCAGGAACATAAACAAAGTCTGTACCTATCAGGCTTAGGTTTGTTACACAGGCTAGATATATACTGACTGCAGTTCAGCTTTCACGGTCTCGGCTAAGTGGGTCTATAATCGTAAGGGCACAACATGGTATATTGTTACAGAAGGTTGTTGACTGCCATCTAACCGCCAGTGCATATCATATCCATTCAAATATTAAGTTTTACAATTCTTAACCTAATGTTTAACATTAAACATAAAATTAATGAATTTAGTCTATTTTTGAAGGTTTTACTTTTCATATTTGTATCCAAAGGATCCTTAAATATTCCTGAATACAGATGTCTGCTTATTGGTCGTGTGTACTCCAGTTGTCTACGATGGAACCTGTTGTAGAAAATATCGCATATTATAGCCTTTAATAGATCTCCGTACTCTCTTGTCTGTGGTTTGCTACAATTCCTACAAGAAACTTCAGTACACTTTGTAAACAAAGATAATGGAATTCCTGGTGTACCTTCATTGGTCCTATACTCTATAGTCTAGCGAGGGACAAACAGTAAAAATACCGCATTATGCTTTGCAGGATTAAAGGAACACTTTAAAAACATATTTTAAATTAAAGGGACGCTTGGAAAAAAAAATCTTTAAATTAAAGCGCACGCTAGAGTACTTGTATACATATATGCAGGCTGTATGTCCGTAAAATGTATGTTTGCATGATAACTCTTGTTTCTCAACTGAAAAGAGGAAATTACAAAGACACTGAAAACAGATATTTATAATAAAGGAACACTTAAAAAACAAAGCTTTAAATTAAAGGGACACTTTAAAACCCAATTTTTAAATTAAAGGGACACTGAAAACATATCTTTAAATTAAAGGGACACTTTAAAAACCAATTTTTAAATTAAAGGGACACTGAAAACATATCTTTAAATTAAAGGGACACTTTAAAAACCAATTTTTATATTAAAGGTACACAGAAAACATATCTTTAAAATAAAGGGACACTTTAAAAATAAATCTTTAAAATAAAGGGACACTTTAAAAACAAATCTTTAAATTATTAAAAACAAATCTTTAAATTAAAGGGACACATTAAAAACAAATCTTTAAATTAAAGGGACACATTCAAAACAAATCTTTAAACTAAAGGAACACTTTGAAAACAGATCTTTAAATTAAAGGGACACTGAAAACAGATCTTTAAATTAAAGGGACACTGAAAACTAATCTTTAAATTAAAGAGACTGTTTGAAAGCTAATCTTTAAATCAAAGGTAATCGTTGAAAACATATATTTCAAAAGCAGATCTTTAAATTAAAGGGTCATGTAGCAGATCTTCCTGAAAGAGGGTCAATATTAAACAAAGGTTTAAAAAATACTTTGGAAATAAATCTTCCAAGAACTGTTCCTTTAAAAAGCTCTTTCAAAGCAATTTAAAAAACTGCTAAAACTGTTAAAAAACTATATTCAGTCAAAGCACAGATATCTTTTGACATTTCGACGACAAATCCTTAAAGGGAAAACTACCAAACAGATAATTTCATAAGTTACCCCATAATCTTTTTTAATGTTTCGTAATTTTTATTTAATGATAAAATAAAGTAATAAGAATATCTGAATACAGAAATAATGGCCGAGATCGCTTCATTTATAAACGAGACAAAAAGGTAATTTTTCTCTTGATTTAAAAGCATAAACAAGGTACAATGTTACAGTTTAACAATAAATTATTAAAAGGTTGCAAACCATCAAACACAAAAGAGAAATCCTTAATTGAAAAAAAATTATTACGAATCATAATCAATGCTCACAGATGCAAGCCATGATTAAATAATAAATACATAAAATTATATTTAATTTTATTTAATTTTACGTAACAAGATTTTATTCTATACTCTATGAAAAAGGATATTGTTCTACATATATAAAATATTATAATAGAAATTCATAACTTTTTAATCTTTCTGAATAGATCCTTTAAAAAAGGGCAGTAATTCAAATATAAAATGATAAAATTTACTCCAATTAGATTTATTTGTAGGAAGAAGGATATTGTGGATAAATACCGAAGTGAAGATGAATCTTCTATATCCAGGAAGATTTCTAAAATGAACATGCATTCCCTTGGCAAGAAATCTGCCAGAATTTCATTAAAGTTTCTCAGTTCAATCGGGATAGACAGCTTGGTGAGAATAGGGGGAGTGGGATTCATGTTGTGTTCAGTGCCCCGGAAAATTCCAAAACAGAGAGAGGGGGATTGAATTTTGTAGATCCAGAAAAATAATTAAATTAGTATTTATTTAAGGTTAGGTTAGGTTAAGACACTTTCTGGGCCGAGCGCTGCGGCTAGGACAGGTTAGGGGGCCGAGCGCTGCAGCTAGGACAGGCTAGGGGGCCAAGCGCTGCCGCCACATGTCTTACATTTAAGACCCCAACAGCTGTCAGTCTCTACGCAGGCATCCCACAGATATTATGTTGCTGGGTCTACAAAATTCAATCCCCCTCTCTCTGTTTTGGAATTTTCCGGAACATTGGACACATTGGACACAACATGAATCCCATTGTGCCGTGAGAATAGGCCTAGACCTTAAAGGGACTGTCGACATAATTTAAGAGTTACATGGCCGATTCACAACGGTATTCATAGCGAGACATTGATAAAAATATCTAAAAGTTTTAAATTCTAAAACTTTCCATCAGAAAAACCACAAGGATATCTTTGCTGAGATGAAGGCAGGGAGTAAAGAATAGACGGGAGATATAACTGACGCGGTTCGCCCTACCATATGATTATACATGCTTTGCAGACGGGCACTCCATTTGAATAAGAAATGTTTGTCTGATGTACAATTTTACCGCGTATACAATAACCTATTTTGAATATTTTTTTTTACAAATGGAGTACCCGTCTGCAAAGAACGCTTAATTATATGGTAGGGTGAACCGCGTCAGTTATATCTCCCTTCTATTCTTTACTCCCTGGATGAAGGTCTACAGGGTACCGATGTAAATAGGCCACGTCGATCTCTTATTGGAGATTTACTTGAAACCTATTGGAATATGTCCCTGCGTCGACAGCAAAAATTGTCTTAATAATGATGATGTAGACTAGCCAGATGATCTAGATGAGTATGATAATCATGATGGTGAAATGATGATGATGATGATGATGATGATTATTATGATGATGATGATGATGATGATAATCATGATAATAATCATCATAATGATGATCATGATAATCATGATGATGATGTTGACCAAGATAATGATGATGATGATGATGATGATGATGATGATGATGATGATGATCTAGAGAACTGATGATGAGTATGATGAGCTGGAGAAGCTGTATATCCAGCTGACCAGCTCCGTGAACCTGTTCTTGCAGAACCTGAGCAAGGTGAAGGAACAACTTCATCTCGCGACAATCTCACAGTACAATGTTTCACAGAATATTACAGACTTCTACAGGTAACTCGCAGTTTTTGCTATACCCTCTTACCCACCATTTTATACGTTCTCTTTTTTTCTTTTTATTTCTCTGCAAAGGTGAATTTTGAATTTCTAGCTTCAAGAAATAATGGAGAAATTATCAGAATTAAACCCTTTCGAGCCAGAAAAACCCCAATATCTTTCACATTCTTGGTTTCAATGGTATACCATAATGTCAATCGGACTTTGCTATCTTTGCATAAAGGATCACACGAAAAACGTTTACAGACCCCTTATTGTGATTTGCTTGGTACTTTCCCAATTACAGTTTCCCAAGGGCGACAATTTCTCAAGTGGCAACTTCTCTAATGTACACGGCAACTTTTCAAATGGTAGGATAGGCCTACTGAGACGCCGTAGGGTTGTAATGAGGGCCGATCGCTGCTGCTAGGTCAGACAGAGGTTTCCTCTTGGGAAATTGCACATTTGGGAAGTTGCCTGTACTTGGGAAAATACCCTTGGAAAGTTATCGCTTGGGAAAAGGTCTTTGGGAGAGTACTTGGGAGAGTACTTAACATCTTCTTTAATTTTCAAATACATTGATTTTCAAGCTAACCTGAGTCCGAATTTAATGATTTTGAGCTGCGTCTCAAATCCGCCAAAAACCGGTTTCATTTAAGCGCCGGCTTAAATATTGAAACATTGAATTTTTAAGTTGAACCAACAATTTTGAGCCGCGTCTCAAATTTAAGCCGCGGCTTAAATTCTTTAAATTCGGCCTCTGATTAAACCATTGATACAATATGCACATAAAGTTTCTTAAATTTCGAAATCCAATTCCACATTTTTATGGGTTCACATGCACTACATAATGACATGTACATTTATGTATTTTATGTACAGTGAGGTGAAGAGCAATGAGGTGGAAGCGTACCGTACTGCACACTCATATATTCTTTCCTACGTTTGGAACCAGTTCGTAAGTTTTTTTTTTTACTTTTAGATAATTAAATGTTGTTTTCGGAAAAGTTTAAAATAATTTTTTAAAGATTTTTTAGTTTTGTTTACGCGGCGTAAGCTTTTTCACTTCGGTGCTTCTGATGAATTATGGATTGGGAATTCCTTTTATTTTTGATTTAAAACCAAAACATGTAAAAAAACGTTTTGCAGTTTTTGAATTTTTAAAACTTTTTTGGCTAAAACATTTTTTTTCGGAGGAGGTTTAAGTATGGAATTGTAGTGGAAAAATGCAGTAGCTGTTCAAAAACCTGTTAAAATCCTTTTAACAAAAAAAACCTTCGTTTCTTTTTTTCCTGTTATACATTTTTAAGAATTCGACATTTAATTTGCAATTTTAAAGGAATCTGTGAACTTTAAAAAAATTATTTTGACCTTCGCAATTGATAACAAACAGGGAGAACAAATTTCTTTTAGAGAAATCTAAAGTAATTGAGTTGGGATTAGGAAGGAAAATAAGGATTTGGTCCTTTCCTGAATATCCAACGTGGACACTTTTAATTGCCTACTTAATCCGCTCTTTTCTTTCTCACCCACAATGATGGCGCACAAAATCATAAATTTCCCGGCTTCTCTGATTGGCTGTTCTGGTTTTTCCGAACCCCACTCGATTGGTTGAGTTATATAAACACTTTTGATGATACAAACCTGAGATTAAATTGTCTTGAGATTAACAAAAAGAAAAGATCAAGCATTGATCTCGATATCCATAATTCTAAAGTGTTTAGAGAATTTGAGCCGCTGCTCAAATATGGAATGATTTCCACTTAAAATTGTATTTAATGTTTCAAGATATAAGCCGGCGCTTGATTGAAACCGGTTTTTGGCGGATTTGTATCGCAGCTCAAATTCATTAAATTCGGACTCTGGAGAAACTGCAAAACGTAATTTCAATTATTTTGATTTGGGGTTTCTCTATAGAAGTGACTTGGGCTTATTGTCTCAATCTGGGCTTATCTTAAGAATTAAACTCGTGTCAAGTTAGAAAAACGATTATTTCTTCCACATTATTGATCAGATGATAAAGGTTTCAAGGGTACCGTTGCAAACCGGGCAAGCCCTTCTTTAAATAAGGAGTCTCTGGAGACTTCAACGGAAGTCCCTTTAAAACTCTATTATTAGAATCAGTTGGTTGAGTGTCGAGTAGTTCGTCCTATCACACAGCTCCTGGATACCTTCTCCAGTCCAACTCGTCTTATGAGTAAGAGAACGGATAAACTCATGGATCTAGTAGCTGCCAGTCAACGGGCTAATAGGAATAAAGACCAGAAACTTAATAAACAGGTAAACAAGCCTCCACACATTGCATAATTCGAACCCGTACAAGGATCTACCCAAGGTTATAATGCAAGGAAAGTTAATTTCAGTTGCGTATACTCTGCGTTCATATTGAAACCAGTTCTCTCTGGACGGAATTTGTAAATAATAATAGATGCATCAGTGTTCGTTTAGTATCCGAGGAGGTTAAAAGCATTGAATTTTGAAAATTTTTATAATTCACATAATAGTTTCCTATGACCAGAATATTTCATTGATTTTTATGTGAGAGATGGATCCCATATCAGGCTGTGACATCCGTCTTGTGTTTGCATTACCGCCCAGAGACAGTACACTGCAGTACAAAAGATTCTTACACCTCTGAAATAACTTTCCTTGCATTATAACCTTGGATCTACCGTTCTAGTTTAGTTGTACTGTATGTCATTGCCCTTGTACTGCCAAATTTTATGCAAGATTTAATTTTTTTTCCTTAAAAGCGTAATTTCAAGTGACCCTCCATGCAAAGATGGATATGTCCGATTAACATTGGTACCCTTTAAAGCGTGGTCTGATCAAGTATAGAATTAGATATAATCCTTGATCAGTCCAAGGTTTAAAAGGTACCGGGGTTAATCAGTCCAAGGTTTAAATAGTACATTGGTGAATCAGTCCAAGGTTCAAATGGTACCGTGGTTAATCAGTCCAAGGTTTAAATGGTACCTTGGTGAATCAGTCCAAGGTTTAAATGGTACCTTAGTGAATCAGTCCAAGGTTTAAATGGTACCGTAGTGAATCAGTCCAAGGTTTAAATGGTACCGTTAGTGAATCAGTCCAAGGTTTAAATGGTACCGTAGTGAATCAGTCCAAGGTTTAAATGGTACCGTGGTGAATCAGTCCAAGGTTTAAATGGTACCGTAGTGAATCAGTCCAAGGTTTAAATGGTACCGTGGTGAAAGGTCACTTGAAAATACACTTACAGTCCCTTTCAGGGGAAAAAATAAAAGTACCAGGGTTGTATAATAAGGTTGTAGATACTATGGATGCGCTCCAATATTACAAAAATGTCGTCTTCATAGCAATGGACACTCAAGATCCTCATATGACGTAACAGATCGTTGGCGGAAGCTGAAGTTACAACGTTGCTGGTGATGGGGGGAGGGGAAACGATTTTCTTCGCTTGTCAGCTGTAAAAGCGGAGAAAATTTGTTTACCCGCCTCTCACCAACAAAGTTGTCATTTAAGCTCCCGCCAATAATATTCAATAATAATAATATTCAATAAGAAAATGTAGTATATTGCAAAGTACGCTTCTTGCAATACTGTGTTTTTTTTTCATTTTTGCGGGGGAAAAACACTATAGGGGGGCCTTGGGTAGAGGGCCATGCGTTTCCAATGTTTGAATCAAATAAAGTTTTTTCATCATAATTTCTCTGCGTTCTGTGTTTAGATCAAGGTTGTATAACAAGCCTGAGCTGAAAACTTTAGAATGGTGAATATCGAGATTAATGCTTGATCTCCTCTTTTTCTTAATCTCCAGATTAAATAATGCTTGTTCTCCTCTTGTTATTAATCTCCAGATTAATTAACTGGTCGGGATTAAGGATATCCCATTCTAAAGTTTTCAGCTCTAGTTACTCTCGATGCACTCCAATGTACGGAAAATGTCGTCTCCTAAGATAGATAGATTAAACCTCATATAACGTCACTCTCGCCTCTATATTCAGTGACGTCATATGAGGTTTTCATCTATCTATCTTAGGAGCGTACAATAGAGCGCATCGAGAATTGGAGAGTAACCCAACTTATTATACAACCTTGGTTTAGATTGAGATTGAACTAGAAACTTCGAAGACGACCTATATTGCCTTAAATAGTCAGCTGTTATCAGAACTACCAACATTGATACAGGTTTTAATGCTTATTTTTATAATTAATTATTTTTGTGTGACACTCATTTAATGCACAATATTCGTCTTTAAAATTTGTTGGATTGCACAATGGTTTAAAAAAAACATCACATTTTTACTCTTAGTTTAATTATTACCCGATGGTGATTTTAAAACAATGTCGGATTTGTTCAACCCTGCTCTGAATAAATGTTATTTTAATTAATTTATTAAAGCTATCAAATGACCTTAACACAGTTCTTGGCAGATATTTATTTTCCATTGCAAATTATTGTTTTTTAAATCTATCTGATCTTCATAAATGTTAGTTAAGAAACAAATTAAATATTTTGATGTCCCATATATTGGACCATGCATGGAAAGTTCCGGTTTTGCAGGAACTGTTAAATACAAGAATGAATAATTTATATGTTGAAGAATTAGATGATTACGTAATAACTGAAATGATAAATATGTTATGTAGTAATGAGTAATGTCGCCTATTTGTGCATAATTTTGCATACTTTTTTTCTTTTGTAAAATTATAAATTCAAAATTTCTAAACAAATTTAAACAACACCATTTATATATGTTTCTGTGTGAATAAATCTTCATAATAATATATTAAAAACAGCTATATATACAACTTCAGTTTTACAAATTCCGAATTTTCTTTAAATATATTAATATCTTAGCAATACATTGAAAGGACTAGACAACTCAATATATTGTAAAAGCATTATTTATTTTTACATGTTTATATCTTTATATTGTTTTACATATTTTTTTTTATAGCTTGGAACCGATGTGTACAGAGAATGTGTACATCAGTACATACTATTAAGAAAACTGTTCGTGGGCCGCGCAACTAATAAGCTTCTCAATCTGATGAATGTAAGTACTGAACGGGCATAACCATCTGGAGGGTCACTTGAATTTACGCTACAGCCCCTTTAAAATGTGTCGTTAATATTTGATATTTGATATTTGATATTTGATGATAAAAAAATAATTTATCAAAAAAGTTTGCACAACTTATACTCTCTCTTTAATGTGATCTTTCTTTAAAAATAATGTTTTGTATGAAATCTATTGAAAATAGAAATAACAAATATAAAAGTAAACCTAATTTACAATTAGCTTTCTCTGGGATATCATCGGTTTCAGATTGTTTGCTTATTTGCTGAATATGATCTGTCTAAACCTACTACTTTTATACCAAATTGTATATTTATTAATTTTCGTATATATTTGACACAGTTTTATATCAATTTCTCGAGACAGGTTAGGTTAGTGATTAGCTTTCAGCCTATACCCCCTTTCATTTTTCCTTTACTGTCCCTTTAAGCCTTTCTTACGGTGTGAATCAAAGATATAAAGTGTGTGGGGACTAAGGTTGATAAAATAATTATATTTAATCTTTCTTGAGTGAGTCTTTAGTTATTTAAAACCATTTTTCGAAGCAATGTTTTGCTTCGTAATAAATAAACAATATAGCTAGGTTTTTTTAAGAAGACATTTTTGAATTTCTAAAATTTACCCAGTACATAGAATGGAACGAACTTGTCGACTCTTTCAAGTTGGATCATTTCTGGGTTGATAAAACCTCTTAGCACATGGTAGCAGAAATCGTATCACTGTCTAAAAGTGTATATAGCTTTTAAACGAAACAAACAATCGATATGCCTGTGTTTTTTCTAAATGGTCAAATCTTCGGTTTGCAACCAATTGTGTCAGCGACTCATTGATTGAAAATTTTTAATTTAGAAACCTAAAAAAAGTTTAGTTACAGCTAAAGAAAATTTTTAAGAAGAAAAATAATAATTTAGGGGGGAAATTTCAATTCACTTGTTCCCAACGAAAAAATACAAATATGAATGTGTAAATTAAGATGGCGTATTTCAGAAAAAGGTAAAGTTTGTCCAATGGGAAATTTTTTTCTAGTTGCCCTTGATGCGAAGTAGTTCTGCAGATATACTTGAAGTATTCCTCATTAAACATTCTCTCATTGGAAACCAAATTGGTAGATTCTCATTTGCTTCGAAGGTAACTACTGGACAATTCAGGTCAAGTCAGGTCAAGTCAGGTCAAGTCAGGTCAAGTCAGGTCAAGTCAGAGGTCAAGTCAGGTCAAGTCAGGTCAAGTCAGGTCAAGTCAGGTCAAGTCAGGTCAAGTCAATACCAATACAAATATATAGTTCATCATTTTAGTGATGTTATGTAAACATACACTGTACTGTTTTATTTTTCAAATTAAACTATATTTTTATCAGAATTTCCGGTGTGAGGACAATTTTAGAAGCAGTTCCCCCACTGATACTCCTTCCAGGGAGCATGAGGTATACCGTATACCGTATACGGAGTAATAGCGATGTATACAGTTATCCAAATTATGCATCAAATGTTGGGATCGGAGGTTAATTTACAACACTTGATCTAAATTAGTCACTTTGAAGAATTTAAGTTTAAGGATAAGTGCTATGATCCCTTAACTTTTTTATTGCCTATCGCGGCAGTCACCACACGGGAAAGTTCAAGGGAAATTGATAGAATCCGAAGGACCATGTGGCTCAAAATGTCACAATACAGATATCTGCTTGAAACCGGGAGTAACAACACAAAAGTCAAACTTTAAAGTGCACTTTCTATTTGTAGCCCTGGCTGTGCAAATTTAAAATCTTCTAAATTCGAATTTCCAGCTTGAGTTTCGTTATCAAATACAAAAATTAAAACAAAAAATTTACTCTATTTTTTTGGTATTTGATAACTTAAAAATAACTCTTTTAATGGTTTTATTTGTATTAATACTATGGAAACAGGGATATATGTAATACTAAATTTTAAAAAAATGAGTAAAATGCAACATTTTCAAATCTTATAATTTTTCTAGAATCCCCAGACGGCTCATCATAAAAGCTTTCTGCTGAATAAATACCCTACGAACAGTATCTACCAGGTAACTTTTTGAAAATTACGAAAATTATGAAAATTATGAAAATTATGAAAATTTACCAACACTTTTCAGTTTTCATAGAAATTAATGGAATTTTACTTTTCCAAGGGTTCTCAATATATACCAACATTACCTATAAAACACCCAGCGCGCAGCGAGGGATGTTTTATAGATAAAACTGATCAAGGGAATCCGTGTAGAAATAAAATTCATCATTAAAATTTTATCGTATTTTGGGATGAAAATGCGGGATTTTATCCCCGATAACGCCGAAGAGCGGGTCGTTTTTTTACTTAATTGTCCCAAGGGACGTGAAGTAACTTGGCATCTATTGTTCCACGAAACATGACATTAAATGAATAGTTTTAAATGTTTTCTTCCATAAATTTTAATTTCTTTGAAACCAAAGAGAATAATTAGAAATATCACATGGCAGTCATATTATAGTAAATTTGGTTTCAGAGTAGAATTAATTTGAGTAAAAGATTTTTTAAAACAAAATATAACTTCAACAAGTCTTTAATATATAATATAGTATTTGGAAGAAAACATTCCCAACTATTCACCAACTGTCATGTTTCGTGGGACACCTTGTATCATCCTCTCTAGAGATTAATGAATTCTTACTCCAGGTGATTAATGACCTGACGGTACCGGAGGAAGGATCTAGTGGTTTGAAGGGTGGGATGGAGCTCCGAGTTAGGGTTGGAGACCTGGTCGGAGTTATCCAGAAGAAACATCCTATGGGGGACAAGAGCAGATGGTTTTGTGACACGGGACAGGCACAAGTCAGTTCAGAGACTGTCCATGTTGTTTATAGTCACCCTCCATTTTAAATATTATATCGTATATACTAGATTTACAAAAATATCCAGGTTTCTTTAAAATAGTGACAATGGCGGATATGTGCTTGGCAGAGAAAAGTAAACAAGTGTATAGAATTTATCCTTTCTATATTAGAAAAACGTTGATTTCTTCATCTTTTTGCTCAGAAAAAGGTTGTTCAGAGGGTACCATTGTGACATGCAACTTTTTTTTTTTTAAATGAAGGGCCGCATAAAACTTCTTTAACATGTCTCTTTTTAAAAGCATTTTTTTAATTATTTGACCATTTTCTACGTCTTTTTCTGTAGGGGTTTCTGAATTCATCGGTGCTTATTCCGGCAGGGAAGAGTCTAGAAACTGAACAAAACCCTTTGAACAAGTGGCAGAGTTCAGAAAACACCGGGCCTCAACAATCAAAGGTATAAACCAAAGATAAATAAATAAGGATTGAAGGCACTAATCATGATATTTAGGATTGAAGGCACTAATCATGATATTTAGGATTGAAGGCACTAATCATGATATTTAGGATTGAAGGCACTAATCATGATATTTAGGATTGAAGGCACTAATCATGATATTTAGGATTGAAGGCACTAATCATGATATTTAGGATTGAAGGCACTAATCATGATATTTAGGATTGAAGGCACTAATCATGATATTTAGGATTGAAGGCACTAATCATGATATTTAGGATTGAAGGCACTAATCATGATATTTAGGATTGAAGGCACTAATCATGATATTTAGGATTGAAGGCACTAATCATGATATTTAGGATTGAAGGCACTAATCATGATATTTAGGATTGAAGGCACTAATCATGATATTTAGGATTGAAGGCACTAATCATGATATTTAGGATTGAAGGCACTAATCATGATATTTAGGATTGAAGGCACTAATCATGATATTTAGGATTGAAGGCACTAATCATGATATTTAGGATTGAAGGCACTAATCATGATATTTAGGATTGAAGGCACTAATCATGATATTTAGGATTGAAGGCACTAATCATGATATTTAGGATTGAAGGCACTAATCATGATATTTAGGATTGAAGGCACTAATCATGATATTTAGGATTGAAGGCACTAATCATGATATTTAGGATTGAAGGCACTAATCATGATATTTAGGATTGAAGGCACTAATCATGATATTTAGGATTGAAGGCACTAATCATGATATTTAGNTTTTGATTGTTAACAAGCTTTTTTCGAATTATTTCCTGGGCCGGGGTACAAATCCACTGGCCGCTTTTAGAGAGGTTTGACGTTAATTTGACATCCAATCAATGAAGGTTTACTACGCCATTAATAAATATGGTTAACTTCATAAACGGATTCTGTCAACTTTGAATTACCAGTTTTTAAATTAATGAAAAATACTAAACACTTTAAACTTTTCAATGAGAAGTACAGGGTGTCTCACAAAGCATGACAGTTGGTGAATAGTTTAAAATGTCTTCTTCCATAATTTGTTAAGTTGTTTGAATAAGAGAATAAGAGAAAAATGGAAAATATCACATGGCAGTCATATTCTCATAGCAAATACCTACTCATTAACAATTTACTCGAGACGTATCTATCCAGGTCTATCCGTTACCACACTTAACCAGGCCCAGCTCTAAATGCCTCACAGGGACACAAGTGTACTCTGCTCTAAATGCCCTTTGTATGTTTCAAAAAGAACCAAAGCTATGTTTCAAGCGTACGAATTACGATGCTCTAAATGCCACACAAGTACACAAGCCGTATAGGTCTATACCAATTATCTAGGTACAACCTTCGTTCATATGTTTCAACAAGAACCAAAGCTATGCTTCAAGCTCATTTTGCTCTAAATGCCACAAAAGGACACAAGCCGTATAGGTCTATACCCTTTATATAGGTATAAACTTTGCTGGTATGCTTCTACGAGAACCAAAGTTATGTTTCAAGCTCACTATGTTCTAAATGCCACACAACGACACAAGTCGTATAGGTCTATACCATTCATCTAGGCATAAACTTCGCTGGTATGCTTCAACGAGAACCAAGCTATGTTGCAAGCTTTAAGCAAAGCGTTGTTACAAGCTTACTATGCTTCTGATAATGTAATCAAACCAACTGCCCATTTTTCGTGGAACACTCTGTAGATAAAAAAGTTTTAAAATGCAAGATTTTATTTAAGAATTACATTTTATCTTAACTTTTATTTAAACTTTTTTGTTTTATACTTATCCCAAGATTCCCAGTAGATAATATAGAAAATTTGAATTGAAATAGAATTAAGAAAGGTTATAATAAATATATACATAAATAAATATTATAATTCAGATTCTACGGGTTGATCCAGAAAGAGTAAGTCAGCACAGTTACGAAGAGATTGCAGCTGAACACGATTCAAACTCACAAATAATAAACGTAAACTTTTATCTAAAACATAAACGGTGGTAGGCGATTACAACAAGATATTGAAGACGACTTTTAAATTAAGTTATAATTGTTTACAAGCTTTTTTCAAATTACAAGTTTACAAGCAATTACAAGCTTTTTAATTGAGTTTCTCTTTGTTTACATGTTTTAGTGCTGTTGAAAAGCTTGATTTAAATAATTGATATCGAAAGTCGTCTTGATTATATTAGTATAATCGCCTACCACCCTACTTAAAATACTCAATTTATAGTAAAAACCAGAAACTCTGGAATAGGAAGACGACTTTTAAACTTAAATTATGACTTTAGATAGTCCAATGAGCACGGGAAACAGAAATTATTCAGTGTAAACAGGGCCATTTCACTTAATTTGTGATTTAATAAGCGTCTAGTAAAATTATTTGCTTTTTAACAACACCAAATACACTTACGTCTTCCTATTTCGGAGTTTTCTGGTTATGACTGTATCATGAGGAATAAGGGTTTTCAACAGAAATTCCATTTCCCGGAATTGTGCGGAAGTTTAAATATTTAAACAGTTCCAGGTTGGCATTTTATTAATGGGTCACCCTGTATTATGATATGTGTTAGATACTTTTCCAAATGGATTTCCCAGGTGTCTACTTCCCAGGGTCATTTCCCCCAAATGGCAATTTCCCAAGCAGCAACTTCCAAAGTCTGACCTAGCCGCAGTGCTCGGCCCCCATAGCCTGTTTTACTCGCAGCGCTCGTCCCCCAGACAATCCCAGCCACAGCGCTTGCCCCTTTCCCCATTGCAGTTTGCGGTGCCTCAGAAGGCCTAACCTGACCATATTTGGGAAGTTGCCACTTGGAAAAGTGCCTTTGGGAAATTACCTAACACCTAATAATATTGATGTGTCTGTAGGACCTGAGCCCTATATATGAGGAGATACCTGGTGGATCAAGATCTAGTATGTCCAGTGGAAGCAGTTCCAGTCAACATACCTCTAGTCCTAAGTATGTATACTGTACAGTGTACAGTGAGAACCAAAAAACAGTGGAATTCTCGTCGTTTTATGTTTTCTTTTTTCTTTCGTTCTTTTTATGAATTATAATCTCTCAAACGATTTTATAATTTTCTGGTGAACTATTTCTAAAAAGTGGCCTCAATTTTGAAAATTTGAAAATTTGACATTTTTTTTGTAACGAAGAGAACAAAGACGACATTTCACTCTTCAGTTTTCTAGTTTTTACTACAAAATCATTTTTCGAGTTGTTATTTTTCAATTTTTTTTTACTTTTAAGAGGCTCTGTACTAGTGTATGAGATGTTTACAAGACTTTAAAAATTTTATTATCTAAAAATTTTGCGTTTAAAAATTGAAATTTGTTTGTTCCAGTCCGACGTTTGTAAGTCCGACGTGTGTCCTGTATACAGTCTGACCTTTGTACCCTCCGACATTTGTGGGTCCCAAGTTTGAACTAGTGCCTTCCGATTATGTCATGCCAGAGGAAATATTTGAACTATGAAGATAAACGTATCGACATTTCTGAAAAATAAAAAACACCAAATGTTTCAAAACGTTAACCAAAAAAATGATGCGGGGGGGGGGACGGTTAAAATAAAATTCTTGTTGCAATATTTTATGTTTCATTAAATAATTTTTATATTTTTTAGGAGAAGATTCTATTTTGCAGAATTCAGGTAAAACAAAAAAAAATTATTAACATAAAAATCATAAAATTGATCTTTTCGTCAGAAATATTTCCAGAACCAGAAAACAGCGCAATATGTATCGTCTTCTTTTTCCCTTTATTAAAAAATGTTGCTAGGGATTTTTAAATTTGCAGCTGAAAAAAAAGTACTCTGAAGCCATTAACTTTTGTGTTTGTCATAGCAGGGACAACTTTAATTAAGGGATCCAGCATTGATCAGCAAATTTGAAAGTGCCCACATTGGATATAGAGATTAATTGTTCAAGATTAACAATATTCACAAAAACAGTTCCGATCTCTGAGTGGTTTTGAAATATGTCAGAAGCAAAATTAAAAATTCGAAATTTAAAAAAAAATTTTTTTAGTTTCCACCCCGAAGAAGAAGAAGAAACAATGCTGAAAGTTGAAAAAGGACAAGTTTTAAGAATTCTCCAGGTTAACTTAAACATTCTAAAAGATTTTCTTAAGATTTTTTTCATAAAATCCTCTTTCAGATTACAGGATTTCCTTGCTTTCTTTTTGCAACAATAATTACAAAATAATAATACAAAATTGTGCGATTTAATCAAGGCAATTTTTTAAACGGAAAAATTATAAAATATTAAAATACAGAGTGTCCTACGAAACATGACAAGTGAATAGTTTTGAATGTCTTCTTCAACATATGATGTATTAGATATTAAAGACTTTTTGCAGTTTATTTCTTTATAAAAATGTTTAACTCATATATATTTTACTGTGAAATCAATTTTACTATAATATAACTGTCATACGGTGGTGGGCGATAATACCAATATAATGTAGACGACTTTTAAATTTAAGTTTTTATTGTTAACAAGCTTTTTTCGAATTATATTTTTACAAGTAATTAAAGAGAACTTTTTTTAATTGACAGTTTCTCTTTGATTTCATTTTTTGCGTATCCATGCTGTTAAAAAATTTTATATGAATCAAAATTTAAATCGAAATTCGTTTTCATTATACTGTTGTAATTATTGTAATCGCCTACCACAGTATAAAAAATGTTATTAGTCTCTTTAGTATCAGATTATCAAATTATGAAAGAAGACATATTAAGCTATTCACTAACTGGCATGTTTCGTGGGACACCCTGTAGGTTGATAAAAATATTTAAAAAAACAATTTTACCAAAGTTTTAGAAAATTAAGCTGGCTAAGATTCAAAACTGTTTTGTTTTGAAACAGAGCCATGCCTTTTTATCACAAGAAAAATTATATCTTTATGTTAGTTTCAGAGCGTGTCTAAACGATGTAAAAAATCATCCAAATCAATCCAAAATCCATATTTTCTATATTTGGATTTA